AGGGTGCTTGTCGTAAATTGACTTACTGTAAGATTCGAACGTGCTGCTGCACGATTGTCGTTAATCTGTCGTCCACGTTATCGTAAAAATCCTCCCGTCCGTCTATCAAATGCTCGATCCACTGCATCAGGATCTCCAGACGGCCGTAGGCGTGCATTGCAAACACGGCGGCCAAGCTGCACGCGCCGGCGGTGATGGAGTGCACTATGAAGTCCGACAGGGCTTGGAGGCAGAAAAAGATTTCGTTGATGGGACTGCGTCGCACGTCGCCCAGCACATTGGCGACGGGATACGCCAACGGGCGATACGTCAGATTTCCGTCGTCCTCCGTGACTTTGCCGCTGCTGAGCGGCAGCACGATACAATAGAACGCGAGACCGCCGTACATGAACACCGTGCAGATCATCACGAGACGTTGGCCGAACTTCGCATTTCTGATCATGATCGTTCGATCGTCGTAATGCCGAGTGTTCATCCAATCGCTCATGATGTGCTCGATGCCGCTGCGGATGTCGTTCTCGCGGAAGATCAACGCAAAGTACTTCACGACGGCCATCAGGTTGAAGTTTAGCGGCGCCGCTACCTTCATCTTGACGTATGCGTCGTCTTCTTCGAGCACCAGGTAGATCGCGGACGGTATGAAGACGAAAGCGATCAGACTGGTGCAAATGACGTTCACCAGCTTGTACGCGTATCGCTCGATGTGTGACATTTTGTCCGATTTCGGCCAAGCGCCGAACGGCTTCAATACCCAACTAATCAGCTGGATGCTGAGCCGCACGTCTTTCTTGTAATCGTAAACGACCGCGACGGGATTCACCATCTCCATGGGTAGATGGTTTTGTGTGGCAGTTGAAGCGGCGAGAGCTCGATGGTTATTGACAGGATTTTACGAGAGCACGAGCGCGGAAAGTCAAATGCGACTGCGCTACTCCGCGGAACTTCCTTTCTCGGAAAGGGGAGATCAGGTGGCAGTGTAAAAAGGGTAAACTTTATAGACGTATAATTTTCAATTTCCGTAAGGGGAAATCAAGATTTCCTCATGTGACGCTGCACCTGTCTGTTTCTGAATTATGCACGAAAGGATTTGCATTCTTCGCGGACATTTTTTTCCGCAATTTATCGGGACGGGATCGCAAGCCTTTCTTTTTTGCGTAAGATACGTATGTTATATTCCGTGTGCACGAATACAATTTTATTCGTGTGTGAGTTATACAATGTTTATACACGAATCATTTGGAAATACAACTATTATTATGTATTACTATATATTACTATACATATTGTATATTATTATACATATATAGTATCAACATAATATATATTTTTAAATGGACAAGAAAATATCTTGTGTTTTACCTTATAATTTTTTTCAAATTAGAGAAATTATTTTTTAGGTTTTAAATGTCTATCGTTTTATAAGATTCCGGTGTGTTAAGGATCGATTTAATGTCGGCTTAATATAATTAATAAGCTCATAAATTAAAATTTGAGTAATTATGCGTTTATTTTACTGTGCGACAGTTTAGTTAGCTCTCTCTCTTTCTCCCTAACGACTCCTCGTTTTCCTAATCTTTTCGCGATCGGTTGCTCGAAGTTCTCAAACAACAAAAGTCTTTTTTTCGGGTTTTCAAGAACATAATTAAATTTTAATAATAATAACTTTTTTATAATAGCTTTTTTCCTCTCGAAATACTTATTGGTAAACGCAAATAAGTCCGAGATTTCCGCGTTAAACATTTGTTTTTGAGTGTTGGTATGTATGTATTTGTGTATGTGCATGTATGAATGCTTCGTAGGCTTGATTATTCTCGCTTTTACTTTTTCCTAATAAATCTTAACAGGATTTGTGCGATGCAATCGCCACAATACCCCCCTGCCAATGTTTAACACGATACAATAAAATATTTGCGACCGCTAAGTTAATTTTAAATCAAATAAATACATAAAAATAAAATAAGATAAATAAATAAATAAATAAAAATAAAAAACAATATACTGAAGTCTATCTTTAAAACGTGGAGTCGTGAGTTAAATGTTTAAAAATGATAAAATAAAATTAAATTAAATTAAAAGATTTAAAAATATGCATTATAAATTTAAAATTAAAATTTTCGATTGATTTCCATTTGTAGGCGGTCCAGGAATCGAACTCTTTTACCGGACCAAGTCCGCCATCTTTGGCTTTGTCTGAGAAGACTGCGTGTTTACGTCCTGTTTCGCCTTTTTTGCGTTGCATGGCAAAAATTTTATCAGTTCGGCGAACGATAAAGTGCGGTTCATCATAGGGCGGTTGTAGCAGTCCTTTTGGCCCATCGTGGCGGATAAATACTCGATCGGCTGTTACCAGGTCTTTAAACACAAATGGCCTTCGTTCTCCATGCCGTGTTCTCTCGATCGGGCGCATGCCGTCGAACGGCGCAATGCGGCAGCAAAATCCCTGGCATTGTCCGTGTTCTCGGTCGATTGCCGGCTCAGGAAACTGCTCCGGAAGTCGCAGCGTCTCTGCATAAACTATCTCGGCTGCAGTTGCCTGGAGATATTCTCCTTCTAGGCTGAACGGATATCCAATAGCATTGTAGGCAGCTCCTCGGTCTAACGGCTACTTTCGTGGCACTTTATCGCCGCTTTCAGCTGAAACTTTTTCACCATTCCGTAAGCCTGCGGATGATATGCCGTCGTTCTGAGCCGCTGTGTTCCCGTCAGCTTGTTCAGTCGATGGAAAAGGTGCCACTCAAATTGCCGACCCTGATCCGTCGTAATTCGGAGGGGTGCCCCGAATCGGCAAATCCATCCTTCATAGAAGGTTCCGTGCGACAGTCTCCGCGTCCTGGTTTTTCATCAGAAATGTCTCTGACCAACGTGTAAAACGATCCACACACGTGGGACAGTATCGTCTCCTTTCCAAAACCGGCATCACGATGATAGCCAGATGGACATGCTCGAATTTCTTGAACGGCATACCGAACGCTTTTCTCGGCGCTGCCACATGCCGAGAAATTTTTGTTCTCTGGCACGGCACGCACGCACGGGCTCAGTTGCAGCAGTTCAAGCGCATCGACGGCCAGGCGAAAACGTTGCGCCACGAGCTTGCTCGTCGATTTCACCCCCAGGTAAGCCAGGTTGTGAACTAAATTAAAAGCACCCCGCTAAAAGGTCCTTGTCACGAATGGACGTGTATGCATGTCTTCGCAGGCTAGATAGATTATTCTCGCTTTTACTCTTTCTTAATATTTTAACATGGGTTGTGCATTGCAATCGCCATAATTTTATAATAAAATATAATTGCGTTCGTTTAGATGAAATTTGTAAAATATTATTATGAAGGTACTTTCTGAAAATCTCATATTTTATTTCGTTGCTTTATGATTGAAACATCAATTGTTTATTAAGGTATCAAGTCTAAAAAGCATATATTTAATGATACTATCCAGATATTGCCTAATAACGTGTATGAAATTGTATTACGTAATAAATAATGTAATATTATACATATATTTCGATTCTGTTTTATTTAATGAATCACTAAAATTTAATAATTGAATATGTACAAAATTGAGTTTACTACTGCTATGATACATAAAAGATTTGATATTATTTAATAACTATTTTAAATTTGCAATTTTAATTTCAATATTTCGCATTGCACAATTCTATATTATATAATAATATAAGTGTGCAGAGATATTTTAGAGGGAAATATGCGAAAAATATATTATACTTCTTTTTTTTAGCAAATATTTTAGTAAATATTAGTCCATCTTTTATTAATTGAAATCGCATTTATTTCTTTTTTTCTTCTCGAAATATATCAGACAATTAATTGGCATTTATTTGCAATCAGCAGTCGTATTAATTTCTACACTTCAAGCAAATTTCAAGCAAATGTAATTAAGGCATGCAGCATGTTCAAGTAAGCGACGGATGACTTAATCTTATCAGTTTTAGGAATGATATATAAGTCATACTTTTCGACAGATATGATAGATATCAACATTGGCTTACTCACCGAAAGTACTGAGGGATAATTCGAATAGATTTCCGGCGGTTAGTTTGATCGACGTATTAGACATGGCGATCATCAATACGAGGGCGAGGCCCTTTCTTCTTGACAGACGATGCCAATCGTCATGTACGATACCTCACTTAGCTTCTTGCACTGTTCAAAAATTATTTTTCTTACTTTCTTTTCACAATACATACAACATTTACACAACTAAAAATTATTTTCTGAAATAAATTCTGAATTTTATAAGTTCCATTGTTATCAAAATTTATAATCTTGTTATTATAAAAATATAGCGTGAAAATGTACTTCATCATAAAATTTGCCGTTACATTTGTCGCAGGTGCAGACAAATGATTCGAGCTGTGAGAACTTTACCTTTTTGGCAACAAGTTCGCCGATATTACAAAATATAAAAATATTTGACGTAAGCGATATAAGCAGAACGATATACGTTATATAATTTGTAGTCTCTTTACTTTCTCATTTCTGGAACGTAAAAATTCCTATATTCGAGGACATATTGTATGCTCCATTTGTATATTGTACACGTCAATCATTCGACACTCCGAACATTACTTCCAAATAGCGCTATTGCTTCGAATTGCTTCGCGATGCGCTTTGCGTGATATGTACTTTTTGTACGACATGCATGCCGTGAGAGTATAATATCCGAGAAAACACATGTTTAACGTACATATCCTGCAATTTCAACGACAGATATTTCACGCAATAGTTTGTCCGATATAAAACTGAAAGTGTAACGTGCTTTTAAGTTTTTAAAAATTTTATTTAAAAAATATAATATATATGACTGACAAATAAGTAACAGCAAAAAGAATTATTATATATTTCTCCGATATATTATATCTAGAATCTAGAAAATAAAGAATTGGATATGCATTTATTATATGAAATAAACGTAAATGTACTATTATACATAATAATAATTTTCAGTAAAATTTTATTCAACATATATTTTGCAATAATCTTAAAAATAAATTAATTTTGTCTTCCTGAATTTAATATTTAATAAACACACATCTAAATGTCTTCAGAATACACCTTCAGCTTCATCACAAGCAAAATCCGCCAGTTATCATTTTTGAATATCTATATGATAAGAATATTACATATTACTTACAACATTAGATTGAAGATTTAAAAAAGCGATTCTGTGGGGATTTTTATAATCTCGTTCATTTCCGATATTTTCAGATCCGATTACATACCGTTGCGCACTTGCATCGTATATTCAATGCTGCTCTCGCAGCGTTGGAATTCCGTAGTCGTCTGTTCGATAATGGCATATATACATATGGAAAGAGAGGAAAACTGATTCTCTGGTCTCTTCACTTGTTGCGAAGCGGTCGCGCCATTGTTACTGATGAATGTAAGTACGACGAAAGCAGTTTACATTATGCACGTTTTCGTGTCTTTATCACCGCGGTAGTTCTGTCACAGCAATTAAAAGTATGAAAGTTTGCGTGAGCACAATTTTTTGCAGATACAAGATAATTACAGGGTACAATCGATTCACACTGGACAGTCTTTAGCAAAAGTACGACCGGTCTTGTGGCAGGTTATAGGTCAAAGCGAATTATTAATAAAGTCAATGATTAAGTTTTGCAGTACATTAATTTTAAAAATAATTTTGATGAGCGCATTGTTAAGACATATTTTAAAGAAAATTATACAAAAATTGTCTCTTTTTTAGCAATATATTATAATAAATACGACAAATTTCTATTTAATAAAATCACATTCACTTTATTCTCAATATGTATTAGATAATTATTTGACAATTATTCAATGATTGTTTTGATAATTTTTACACCTCGGACGAGTTTTATGCAGTTAATGTACGTAGCATGTTTAAGTAGCCAAACGATGTCTTAACCACCTATCAGTTGGATGAATGATATGTTAGTCATGTTACTTGCAAACAGATACTATATACATTGACATTGCGTTACTCACGTCGCAGAAAGTACTAAGAGACAATTCAAAGAAATTTCCGGCACTAAGTTTGATTGATGTTTGATTGGACACAGCAATTATTAAGATGAGATCGAGGCCTTTTCTTCCTGATAAGCGATGCCAATCGATCATGTATGATATCTCGCCAATCTTCTTATACTATGAAATTACTTCTCTTATTTCTCATACGAAACATAACTATGTTTATTACCGCTAAAAGTAACTTCTTAAAATAAATTATAAATTTGATAAATATTATTATATACAATTCCATTCATTGTAAAAATGTACCATGTATATTAAGGAAAGTTGGAATCGTCACAATTTTTGAATAATAGTGTTCGGAAAAAATTGGATGTGAGATTTTTAAAAATTTATATGCGTTATAATGCATTTAAGTATTAAAAAAATATTTTTGAATATATTACTGTATTATACAAGTTATTAAATTTAAAATAAATCTGCCAAAATGTAACAATTAATTCCGTACTAATAACATTTTTTATATAAAATACATATTTTATTATAAAATATACAAAAAATATAATTTTTATTTTAATGTTGTTTCTATATTTAAAAAAATAATATTAATCACAGTATTGATGTAAGTAAAATAATTATTTTAATCATAAAATATGCAACTTGTTTTTATATCATAACTTTCACACGAAAAATGAAAAAACATGAATATTTACAAAACAGCGTTGATCGAAAGAGATTTTTGTCGTAATAATTCCGAACAAATCCCAACTCATTTTAATCAATTTACTGCCACATTTTTGTCATTTTTACTCCCGACTGCCGCCAACCGAAGGTTGGCAAAAACGGAGGGAGTATGCGTTTCATTAATAAGAGAGATTGTATCCACAAGTTTTGCTATAGTAATGATTAACTAACTGCAGAAAAAATGATCTAAGACATGTCATTTTCTACAATTACAGGAAAATCACGATTGGTTAAGGCCAAAAATTTTCACATTTCAAAAACATTTTTTTAAAAGTTGTAATATGCGTAAATCATTTTACACAACAAATTAATATTGTTTCAAAATTCTCCAGTACAAAGTAGAGAATGTCTTGTCATATACTAAGTTATACTAAGCTTTCTACAAAATTTACTTGTGAAGTTTGGCATTAAATGTATCAGAGGTGCAGAAGAATAATTTAAATTTAGGACTTTAGAACTTTACCTTTTCGGCAACAAGCTCGCCAACGTAACATAATATAAAAATATTGAACGTAACAGCTATATATAAAACAACATACGTTACATAACTTGTCATCAGATCGGAAGAGCACA